TTGTGGATCTCTGAACCCTAACCCTAACCCTCTTGGGAGGGTCTTCAGCACACAACATAAAGAAGGGTAGAATCTCAAGCAAAGGAAAGGGATGGAGGGAGTATATGTTCTATATCCCCCCCAGATGGATGCAATTTCAGCTGAGCAGGGTGCACAAATGAGAGCTTTGCTGTATTTTTCACGATGGCATTTTAAACAGCACAGACATGAAAAAAAAACCAAAAAAAAGCTGTCTAAAATGTAAATTCACTGGGTCATTTCCTTCATTTCTATAGAAACAGCAAAGCTTGCCAGTGGCTAACTCAAAGGAGATGTATTCAGATCCCTGTATCAACTATTTTCTTGCACAACTGACCACAAAAAAAAAAAAAATACAACCCCCAAAAATCTCAACAATAATACCATGGAAACTGTGGAGCAAAACATATGGGCTTAATTATTAGCTATGAACTCACACATATGGTACAGAACACATATGGGGTACGTGCTCCAGAGGGGAAGGGTTAGAACTGAGTATTTATAAAATGAACTGCCAATGTGCTGCTTTTTGTGGAACCTGGAGAAGGGAAGCTCAAGCTCAGGTCACCCAAGGAAAAGCATCCTTGGGACAGCAGAGTCACAGTGGACTTTGTGGATGCCCCTCCAGCCATCTCCTCTGGGCACCCCAAAATGCAGCGTGGTACTGCCAGGGATTGCTGATGCCATCTGAAGTACGGGCAGCTGGCTGGGTGCGAGGTGGAGGATTTGGCCCCTGTCTGGCTGCTGCTGGCTTCCTGATGACATCATACCATCACAGTGATGTCACCTTACTGCAGTGAAATCAGGTGTGGGGGGAAGCAGTGTCCTCTCTTGTCCCAAGCTGAGGGAGAGGATAAAGAAAATGTCCTCACCCCAAAGAGCTGAACCTGTAGCCAGGAGAGGGCAGGGTGGGGGTTTAATGCCAGTGGGTCCTCTGGGCAGCCCTGAGCTCCAGCCCCCCCTGGGTGTCCCCCTGCCCCCTAAGGCATCACACACTGTTGGCTGCTCCCAGAGCTGCTCACTGTGGGTGATGAGAGGTTTTTATTTCCCTTACCAGCACTGTCACCTGATTTCGAACTGGGAAATGAAGTCATGTCCATTAATCAGGAGTCCCTCATAAACACAAGCCTGGAGTAATTAATGGCACTCGCTGTCCCCCTGCGGCAAGGCTGGATCAGTGCTTTGGCTGCTCTGGAGCCGTTGCTGACAGAGGCTCCACAGCCGCCTCCAGGACATCTGGCCGAGTTGCGGCATCCGTAACGCATCAGCCGGCAGGATGGCATCAGCTCTGGGGAGTGGAGGAGAAAACAGCAGCACGAGATGTGGCTCCAGCCTTTGGCATCAAACCTTCTGTCTGTGAGCACCCACCTTGGGCAGGGCTCGGGTGATGCAGGGAGCTGGGGCTCCTCCATGAGAAGCAGAGACTCCAGCGCCAGGATAAGTGACAGCAGCCTTTGGAAGGTGGCCTGGTATTTCCACAAGCTGCCATGACTTCATTAACAGACTGATTGCAGCTAACGAAGCAAAACCAAAGCCAAGAATCAGGGTGGTACTGGGAGAGCTCTGACTGCACGCTCCTCCCTGCTCCAGCCCTGGTTCCAGGCTGTGGGAAGCAGCAAAGCTGAGGTCAGGATTGCTGCCCAGGTGACTGAGGACCTGGTTTGCAAAAGTAAAACCAAAAAGAAGGGAAAAAAGTGTGGAGGGAGGGATGGGTTATCACTCCTACTTAAATAATATCAGTGCTCTGCTTACAGGACACCCAGCCCCTCCCATGTGTTTGCTGACATACATCACAACATGTGACACACACCAGCAGTTCTCATCATGCCTGTGAGACTCGGAGAGTCTCTGCACACTTGCCAGGATCTGTCCCTTGGGCCAGGGCAGCAGCAGCGCTCTGGCCCCCAGACCATGTCCTGCAGGCAAGAGGGTGCAGAAGGGGAGCCAGGGAGAACAGCTGGGCACCCTGCATCCTGAAGTGAGCTCGGGCCTTTCCTTCAAACTCTGGACTCACAAATTCCCTTTCTTGCATCTTGTGATAAGATCTGGAGGATGGGAATGTGGAGAAGGGGCTCAGTTTCCTGAAGGTCTTGAGATGCTTTGGTTTTTCTTTCCTAAGCGCCAGCCTTGCATCCCCAGACACAGCAGCTGCAAGGAAAGCTGGCACAGGACAGGCTGTGGGTGGTGAAGCATTGGGAGGCAACTGCTGAGCACCTGACTCTCTTCTCCATACTTAAATTTTAAATCACCATGATTGTTTATGACAGTTATATTTTTTCAGGATCTGAATTTGAAGGTTTGAAATCAGCAGGGCCAGGCTTCTGTGCATCCTGTAGCCAGGGCAATGCAACACGGTGTGCATCCAACCCCTCCTGCCCCAGCAGCCTCCCTGGGCAGCCACAGCCCCACACAGGACAGGGATGCTGTGCCAGCACCACCACCACAGCAAATCCCTTTCCAGCTCTTGCTGTGCCAGAGTAACGGAGAGGGAAGCACACCGGTATGACCTGGAGAGCTTGCCTGGCAAAGTGCTGCAGCCTGAGCTGCTGGCAATCAAAAGCAAATCACAACCTGTCCCCAGCAATGGAGGGACAGGATCCTGCCCCTCAGCAGAAAATATAGGGGTGGGTGCCCTGTTCCTGCTTGGTCATGGCAATTTCCCAGGGTGGCAGCAGGGACAGCCCTGCCAAACCTTTCAAAACCCAGGAGAAAGCCACTGGCTCTGTCTGGGCAGACCTTGATCAGTAGGAAAAGGCATGGAGCTTCCCTCCAGGTCATGGCTGGCAGCAAGGAGCCAGCTCACCCCACCAGCCTGGCTCCCCAGCCCCTCTCCCATGCTCCTTGGGGAGAGCGTCCCTCCCCTTCACTTGCTGTCTCACTGGGCAGCACGTTCTCACCTTGAGGGGAGTGGAAATGGCAGCTGGAATGTGGGCTGGAAAGAAAAAAGAAAGAAAAAAAAAATAAAAATCTTGAGGCTTGTCCAAACCTACTCATGTTTATATTGGAGCCTGTTAGTGACATCAGAGCGGGGAGAATATAAACACCAGCAGGACCTACTCGGGGCTTTAAAACCTGCGAACACGCTGCTGCCTCCAAACTGCCTGGGGGGTGATGTGCTGAAGTGGCAGAGGGAAGAGCAGCATGGGGCTCCAGCTGGAGAAGCAGCTCCTCTTCCTCTCCCTCCTCTGTGTCCTCTCCAAGGTAAGGGATGGGGCTCTGGGTGGCTTTAGCCTTATGTGGGGAAGCACCCGGTTCTTGCAAAGTGGGATGCAGGGAGGAACGGGCTAATGCCGGCTGGCAGACAGGCTGCGTTTGTGCAGTTCAACAGAGCAGAGCTCTGCTTGGGAGAAACATTCACAATTAAGCAGCGGGGTCTTAATGTCCATGGGCCAAAGGCGTTGGTTGTGCGAGTCCACGGAGCATGCAGGAATGACAGCAATGTGCTCTGTTTGCTCGTCTGCTCTGTGGTATGTGTCCCTGCGAGCGGGCAGCAGCTCGGCGGTAGCGGCTCCTGCAGACTCCCTGGTCCCTGCCCAGGCTCCCGAGGCAGGGGGCCAAGCGGCGAGCATCAGCCTCGGCATTACTCAGCTCTCCCCCCTCCCTGGGATGCTCATGCAAAGCCAATACCTCTGACAGAATTTGAGTTGTTGTAATGATTTTGATTTTTTTTTTTTCTTGGACTCTGTGAAAATATTTGCCTGTGCAGAGAACAGGAAAGTTGAAAAGTTTGGAGTATCTCAGCTCCAACTTCTAATTGCTGCTTGAATCGCAAAGCAGACCTTCTTCAAGCAGGGTCCTCATGGCCAGGTCGTGCCTATTTGACTCCTTTCCCAGACAGTTAAGATCCCTGATAGGAGCCACACTGTCATCTAGAGACAAGTTAACTACAAGGAGCAGGGGGAAATGAATTGATGGAGTTGGCTTGGCACATCTTTCTCAAACATTGATCTGTAACAGCAACCTCCTGAAAGATGAAAAATGCCCTTGGCTGCCTGGGTAAGCTGTGATGGAGAAAAGACTCCTGCCCCAGGGACGCTCATGAGTGTCAGGAGAATCACCAAGGGCCCTTGTGCCCCCAGCCCAAATCTGGCCACCACAGCCAGTCCTTTGGTATTTAAAATCCATATAGTCCAGCTGAACCCATTGATTTCTTGGTGGTCTCAGCAGAGACACCAGTGTCTGGACCACCACAGGGCTGCATTTTTGGTTGCATGTTTCCTGAACAGCCGCCTGCGTGGCACATGCTGGCCATGCAGAGAGCAGAAGACAAGGCTGCCAGGGCCAGCTCCAAGCCGCTGCCTGGGGCTCACACACCTACACACACTGCCAGGCCAGTCCTGGCAAAGAATTCACAGCCAAACTGCAGAGCTCCAAGCCAAACTTGGCTCCCAGCCCTGTCTGCAACAGCCCTATCAGATACAACACGACAGGAGCACGAGCGCTGCCTGCAGAAGCTGTTGGTGCCAGGGTAATTGTGCAAGCAGATCTAAACACCTGCCTGCCCCACTGACCTGCTGCAGCCCTGCCAGAGGGATTACTCAGGCTCACTGGGAGGGGAAACAGCTTGCAGTCCTCGAAAATGTACCTATCTCCAGGCTCCTGGTCCAGCCAGCCAGGCCAGGCAGAGGATGCTGCAGGCAGGGACAGGCAGAGGAGGCAGCTGGAGCAGGAAGGACAGCAGTGATGTTCACTTGGCTTCCGTTCCCGATGCGATGCCCTGTTTCTCGGTATGAATGAGAGCTGTTAAGAGTGTTTGGAGCGAGATGCCGTGCCCTCAGCATGTGCATTCAGCCCCTGCAAAGCCACATCCCGCTGCCTTGGGGGCAGGCGTGGGGGCAGGCTGCTTCCCCCCCAGCCCCATGCCAGGCTGCTTGGGGCAGCATGCAACTGCCTTGGAGGCTACCAGCCCCGTTAGATGGCCACCACTAACTGGGATGTTGGCTTTGTAGCTCCATCCTCCTCCTGGGTGTTCAGAGCAGAGGTATGTTTATGTCCCCATCCTGCAGCGTGCTGAGCATCCCTGATTCTCCCCAGTTTTCCATAGGTGCCCATCACGCCGTGCCCTAAGAGGACTGTAGCTTTCCAGGCTGCTTTGCCATATTCCCATGGATTTGCAGAGCCTCCTTCCACCAAAAATCTGCCTCCATGATTGAGAGAGGATTACCTGGATGTCCCAGTGAAAGAGCAGCCAAAAACCAACCTGTATTGAAACAGTGATGGCTTTGCCTCTGCAGGTGTGTGCCCAGCTGTGCCGGAGACCATGCTACTGCCCCTGGGTGCCACCCCACTGCCCCCGCGGGTCCCCCCTTGTCCTGGATGGCTGTGGCTGCTGTAAGATCTGTGCCCGGCGCCTGGGAGAGCCCTGTGACTTCCTCCACGTCTGCGACCAGAGCCAGGGCCTCGTCTGTGACTACAGCACGGCGACTGCGGGGACAGGAGCCACCTGCAACTGTGAGCACAGGGGTGCCCGCTCCCCCCAGAAATGTCCCCTTGCCCCAGCCCAGCACACACCCCAGCTCCAGCCAGGGCCCCAGCCACCTCTTAGTATCCCTCACCACTTTCAGGGAAGCTGTTAAGGCTCCAAAAGCAGCTTAACCAAGGCTGATGCACACAGCTTGGCTGTGGGACTGTGCTGCAGCTCCAGACAGCTCTCGTGCCATCACCAGCTGGGGTTTCTGGGTGGTTTGAGTGGGGATGGACAAAGGGGTCCCAAGGGTGCTGCAGCCACCCTGCCGGGGCTGGAGCCTGCGGTCGTGCAGAGAAATCACAGAGGAACTTTTTCTAGCCTGAAAACCCTGAAAGGCAGGATCAGAGCTGAAGGGCAGCAGGTCTCTCACCAACTGATAAGCTGCTGCTTTCAAAATACAGAGAGATGAGGCAAGGAGGTCAAGTGATGCACAAACTGCTGCAAGCCCATGTCTGCCCCACACACACCTCAGTCCCTTCTGTGGCCCCACAGTTCAATCCCTTCGTGCCAGCTCCACGGTTCCCCCCAGCAGTCCCTTCTGCCATCCACATCTCTCTGTCACTTTGTCCCGGCTGTTGGTTGCAGTTGAAGATGACGAGGAGGGCTGCGAGGTGAACGGCCGGGTCTATCGAGATGGGGAGGTTTTCCAGCCCAGCTGCAAACTTCAGTGTCGCTGCCTGGACGGGGGCTTCACCTGCGTCCCACTCTGCCAGGAGGATGTCCGGCTGCCCACCCCAGACTGCCCCTACCCACGGCGCGTGGAGGTCCCAGGGAAGTGCTGCCCAGAGTGGATCTGCGAGGCCCGGGACTGGCACCTCCTCCGGGATGCTGGGGCAGGTGAGATGTAGGACATAATGGTGAAGAGATGCCCACACAGGGACTCTGGGGACGGTCCCTTCACCCCAGACCATGAACATCAAGAGGAGACCCCTCATTACACATTTCTGCACCATGCAGGGCCATGCCCGCAGCACCCGCAGGGCACGCTGCACAGCTCCTGGCTCCAACCACCCTTTTCCCCTCTTCTGTTTTCATCCAGCCCCTGGGGCAGCGTCCCCATCACTGCTGTACCCCTGCCAGGAGTGGAGCACGGAGTGGAGTGCCTGTTCAGCCACCTGTGGTGTGGGCTTTTCCACCCGCATCTCCAACCAGAACCACTACTGCAGGCTGGAGACTCAGCGGCGGCTCTGCATGGCCAGACCCTGCCCGGCTCTGCTGGCAGCATCCCCGGCGGTACGTGAGGGCTTTGGTGAAGTGGGTACCTCTGGGTAAAAGTTTGACTGAGAAGGGGAATGCTAGCCAACACGAGCCATGGGACCCCCATTACCTGTGGGCACCCAGTCATCCCTCCCCAGCCATGACCTGAGCGTATCTCAGGGACAGTTAGATCATCCCTGAAACTGCGCTTGGGAAACAGCTTGTGGCAGGGGCAGAGCAGAATCTTGGGGTCTCTGGGTGTCTGAATCCAAGAGGACAGTGGATCCCACATAACCCTGAGCCCCACAGGTGGGCTTGACCTGCCCCTATGACTGGAGATGCATTGGCAGCTCCTGCTGGGCTCCCTGGGGACACACGAGAGGCAGGGCTCTGCCAGCCCTTTAATTAGCCTGGCACAGCCCCAGCATGGACATGGTGCAAAGTTGCCAGGCTCACAAGCAGCCAGCTCTTTCCAGGGCCAGGCACCCACACTGCCAAGTGCCCCTGCTCCCTAGATGTGGGGGACATGCCATCACCCTGCCCCATCTCCCTGTCACTCTCTGCTCTGCCTTTCCAGAGGGGAAGAGGAGGTCGTTTGTAGCTGTGCCCACCCTGGTTGCATCCCGGAGCCAACGCTTCGTCCTGGCAAAGAGTCTGGCACAAGCCCATGGCATCGTGGTTTTGGTGGAGACAGAGGACACGTCCCTTGGGATACTGGGGAAGAACTGATGGACTTGGGCTGCAAAGGAGGGTGGAACCAGAGAACAAGATCCCCATGTCTCACAGCACCTGCCCCCTCTGTGCACCTGGCTGCCCCAGGCAGGGTTACTGGGCAGCATCCCTGAGTTTCTTAGGCTGAGTGAAATGGGAAATGAGGAAACCCTGCTATGAGCATCAACCCATCCAAGAAACAGGAATTGGTCCTTTCCCAGTGGGGCTTTTTGGAGAGGTGATGCTGTTCCTCCGCCACATCACATATGCAGCTCTGCTCTGTGGGTGCTATGAGAGAGCCCACTGCCAGCACTGGGACACCCACATCTCTGAGGGGATCCCTCACTCCCCAGCCCCTCGGGACATGAGTAAGCACATTGGGCTGCACACAAGTCACTGCTGCACTAAGCTGTGCAGCTCAACCATACATGAACTCAGCCATCCCATGACAGCCACCCCACAACCCAGCCACCACCTTCCTGGGCATGGGCAGAGGCATCCTCCCGACGGCAGCTCTAATTCACCTTCCCCACATCCCTCCAGAATAAACACGAACCTCGCTGCTCTGCCTGGCCTCCTCCTCTCCAAAGCACTGGTGGTTTGGCAGGGCTTCGGCGAGCGAGGAGCTCAGACACAGGAGACACCACTCCGCAGCACCAGACATACCGCCTGCCATCCAAGCACATACCCCGCCAGCCAAGGCCGAAAGAAAAGCAGGAAAAAGAGAAAACAAATCGCAAAGATGAGTCGGGGCCATCTCCTGACAGGCTGGAGCTGCTCCAGCTATGCAAGAGTCGGCACAGGAGAGCTGCTCGGCAGCTCTGCTTTTACTTTCTCACAGCGATAATCCTTCTGGGCGTTGAAAAATGAAACACAAATGCCCTCTAACGGCTTCGCCTGAGCGTGCAGAGGGAGCATGTGTCCCACGGCGGGGCGAGAAGGGCAACTGGAAAGGAACAGCAGTTTAGGTGACATGTCCAGGCCAAATCTGGACAGTTTAGGTGTGTATTCGTGGAACTGAAAATAAAGGTGTGTTCGTCTAGGTATGGAGTTTGTCTGGGCCTGTCTATGCAGGTGAACCCAGCTCAGGTGTGCCCTCCAGAGCTCTGCTGCTCACAGCCAGCTCGGCTGCTGCAGGAAAGGCCTGACACAGGACAGGACAGCTTGGAGGCACCTCAATTCAGGCTGCTTAGAATAAGAAAATTAAAAAATAATTTAAAAAAAAATAATCAAAGCACTAAAAACATTATTACAGTATATTATATCCTGGATTAAATTCTGACCCTTTGCTCTTACCCAGCCATGAGCTTCATCATCTCTGCCGATGGGACCGACCCCGGCCATAGCAGTGCTGGGTCCCCACTTGCTGCTGGGACGTGCTGGAGAGGGTGGCATGCAGCTGGCTGCATTACTGCTGGGTCTGCAGCCCCCGGCACAGACCAGGCCATGCCTCTTCTCAGCCTCCCAAAAACCAAAGCCCAAATTCTCCCCCTGTAACTCATCCCTCCCTGGCTCACCCTGCACCAGGATTTCCCCAGCATCATGCCACCATTGTCACCAGCTGGCTGTCCTTCCCACCCAGACCAACATGACAGTGGGGCAGATTTGGGGGTGCAGGGGCAAAAAGCTGAATGGCAGAGGGAGCTCCCCTCTCCCACAAGCAGCAGAAAAGGCAGTGGGGCCAAGGCAGCCGCTTACCTGCTCCCCCAGCCCCTGCAAGTGCTGAAAATAAAATTAAGGATGCTTTTCAGTCACCTCTTGGGGAGGGGGGAAAGAGAAAAAAAATCTCAGTGCTTATGCAGTAAAACATGGCTTACAAAGAGAATTATTGACTGTGATCATCTGGTGCTCTGCCCAAATACAAATCATTAATTTGGTTTGAAACGAGGGATGTGGTACACCTCTGGCAGGCAGCAAATCGCAGAATGAACATGGCCTGGTCTGCAGCTTCTCTTGGCTTTTTTACCTCTGCGATGGCCATGCCGAAAAAGTGGTCACACGAGGCTTATGTAGACTTTGAAAGCACAGTGTTCCTCGATTGTCATGGATAAGACATGTTCTGTGTACTAAAAATCTGGGGTTTTTAAGCCAGTTCTTGTTTCAGCATGTTGGGTCACAGCCACCAAGGCTGGGTGAGCTGCAGGCAGGGAGTGCTGCCAGGGGTCCCATCCCCTCCCAAATGCTGCCCAGCTGCCTCTGGGTGATTGTAAAAATCAAAAGGTCACTTTTTAAGCAGCAACCTGCAATTCTCATCTCAAACAGAAATGACTCAATGCACCTCTGCTACAATTTAATTTATTTTTTTTTCCTGCAAAATGTCATTTCTCCCTGATTCACTAAGCAGAAAATATCTAAATAATGGATTAATGAATCAAAAGAAATCAGAATTATTTTTCCCTAAGAATACAGGGAAATTAACTCTTGCAACTTGATTGCCAGTCTCACAATATTTGCTGTTCCCTCTACAGCCCTGCTACCCTGGAAACATGAGGATCACATTTATTGCAGCCTCTGACGTGGCGGGTCCTGGGCTTTGCCTGCTCTTGTGGGGCAGCAGATAAATCCTCTGCCATCCACAGATGATTATGGTCACCTGTAAAGTTAAAAACCCCAAAACAGACGACAACTCACTCTTGTCCTCAAGGCATACTGCCACATGTGCACACAGGAATGGCATGTGAATTGACAACTGCATTCCTGAACCGGTGGTGAGCAACAGATCATAGCTCATTTCAGCACAAGCACACGTAGCAGCTGAAGGAGAAGCTGTGTGGTAATGCATGAGTAAACAATGTGCATCAGATTATTTTTTTCTAAGCCATTCTCATGAGTGATGGTTTTTAAAAGCCTGGAGCTGGCTGAGAAAGGGCTGGATGAGTCCCTCATTAAAGCTAAATATTTTCAGATACCTCCCTGAGCACAAGAGTGCAATGCTCAATAAATAAAAAGGCAGATCAAGGCCCTTTTTTGCTGTTGGTGAAGATCTGAATGCCCATCACTCAGGTTACGTGTTTGATATCCAGAGGAGCCATCCCAGCCCTGTGCTCTCATGCTGCCCTGGCCGTGCTGGCAGCAGCATCGCTGCGGCATGCTGGAGCCCAGAACTGGGGGGAGCATCCCCATATGGGATGCTTGGGCAGAGCTGGGCAGTAGCATCTCTACTGCATGGGTCGAGAGAACACCTTAAATACACAGGAGGCAGGGATGAGAGAGGACCCGTGCCACTGCATGCATGTGCCTGCCACAGGTCCAGGGAGCAGGAGATGCAGCTGGGCATCCAGCCCCAAGCCTCCATTTTGGGGGCAGAAAAGGTTTTTCCTACAGTGCTGAGAGCAGCTTGTGACCCTTCCCATGATGACAGCAGCCCTCCCAACCAGCTGCTGACTCTGCCCCAGTTTCCCCAATGGTTGATGCTCTGCAAGAAAAAGGACCACTCCCAGTTTGTTTGCACCTTGCTGCACTTCTGCACCTCCATAAAGTTGCTCTGCAAGGTCCACCCCAACTGCAAGCTGCAGGAGCAGCTGAAATGCATGGAGGTGATGGGAGCAGGAGCAGGGCAGGAGGTGGGACTGCTTTCCTGAGGGGTGAACCCCCATAGACCCCTCTACTCTGCTACGGTTCCACCAGAGCCTCTGCAAACCTCAGAAAAACCATATCCTCACCCCACGGAAACAGCTTTTAAGCTTCACCTCTTGGGGCACGCCTGTAGTAGTTAGATTTTATCACGTAGGCAGGAAATAACATACAGCCTTTCCCATCATTTATCTGCTCCAACAAGCACTTTTTGGAGTCAACACACTGATACTCACAATAAGCAGCTACTACCACCCTGTGTCTTGCCTGAGTATGGTCCAGGGAGATGTTCGGCTGGTCCCGAGGAGGGAAGGGCAGTCAGGTTACTGCCAGGACTCACCCCCCACTCCTTCCTCCCTGGCAGGTGAGATATCAGCCTCTGCCCATCCCTTGTTCTAGATTAAGTTCCAGGAAAGCAGGTGGCCCTGGCCCTTCCCGGACCCAGCCCTTCACCTGAAGTTGTTTTGCCAAGGTCTTTTCCCTATGGCTTGCCAGGGTAAACTTTCTCCCTTCTGATCGCCTGTTTACTGCTGCACCTGGAGATAAAGTTATTTCGGGCCTCGTTTATGGGGCAGCAGCTGCTCCGCAATAAAAACCGGGGCTGCCGTTCCTTGGGGGTCCTGTCTGGGGTCCCTGCTTTTAGCTCATGCCCCAACCTCACAGTATCTGTCTGTCTTCTGCATGACTTCCCCAGTGACAGGGAAGGAAGGTCACAGCCTGTCTTGTGTGTCATCCCCGTGTGGGTCACAACAGCTCGCGGGAGGAGGGAGAAGAGGATTTTCATATCTGGGGAGGGAAATAGAAGTCAGGACAGGCTGTTGCTGTGGGGAAGGTGCAGCTGTTGGGCAGGGAGCAGGGCTGTGCTGAGGGCAGCAGCCT